CCCCAAAACCCCAAAACCCCAAAACCCCAAAACCCCTGGCACCAGGAACAATGTTGATGTGCTAAGTCGGTGTAATTAGTCTTTTAGTTAAAAACTTCCACAGTTTTTGTTCATTTAAATATGGTATCTTTGGGAAACTAGCAAAGTCATTTTTCAATTTGATTTGATACGAACAAAGTTGTAGTAAACATTCTTTCCTTCCATGTTTTCACTAAATCGAATTATGTTTCAAAGGGCTCAGAAGTTGCAATTACTTGAAATAAGCTTTAATTTTATTGAGGGATCAACATGCTTAATTTAGATTCATTAAAAGAGCGCAAAAGATTAATCACCCAAAAATAAAACATTACCTGAGCATGCACAAGGTCAAATTTATTGCGAAGGGGGGGAATCTAATTCCATACTTGCTAATGAAGGAAATTTTAACGAATTTAGAAGAATCTGAGAATTAAGAAGAAATATGAATTGAATAATTATTATTCGCAAAAGCAAAAATATGAGCTCAATAGTTAAATTGCTTCAGCAATCCGTGAATAGTCTCTATCATTACTATAACGGTGTTTGTTTCCAACTTTCCTTGTATTTGATGAATGGTCAATTAGAGATTTCACTGACTCAATTTTCTCATTACTTCTATCTCTAGAATAGCACTGCGTTGGTAAAATCTCTGATTATGGACTATTGGTAGAGGGAGTTAATATAACTTTGCCATTCTGCTGGGGTTCGATAATAGAAATTCCTTCTTGATCAACTTTAATCACAAAGAACTTTTGATTCTGTAGCTGCTACTGGTCAGCAAACGATTCCATTCTTATTTGTATCATTACTTGAGCTCTTTCGATTTTTTGTGGACTGTTTGAATCTAAATCTTTTGTATTAGTTTGATTTGATAGACTTTTTATATACCTTTGTTTGAGTTTATATAATCCCAATTAAAAATTATCCTTGATGATATATAGGCATCAAAACCTCATTATGAGACATAACAGAGCCAACAGTTAGAGTTAAACCCAAATGGGTTACGAGAAGCTTCCAAGAGCAAGCAGAATCTCAGTAAAATCCAAAAGTAAAACTGCTAAGATCCCAGAAAAAACTGGAAAGGTAGAATGGGATGTAATAGAGCAAATTTTTAGAAATTTATAAGTAACGCCAAATAGTTTTACATCTGACTTGAAGTTTTCAATTTCGCAGGCCTTTATTCACACCTTTTTGATTGTGGAACAAAAAAGGGTCATGTTTTCCTACTTCATTACATAGTTTAGCACAATATTGAATTCAAGAGCAATCTTTAAAATGAAGCTTTAGTTTATAAAGGAATAGAATTAAGTATCCAAAACTATCAATGAATATCAAATACAAATTCTTTAAGTCTCTAATCCCGGTCACCCAAAGAAAAAATCTATCAAATATTAACAAAATCAAAGGCCAAAATAATGTTTCCCTAATATTTCTTTTGTCACAGTGAGTTTTCCTGTGCTGGGCGTTAAGGGTAAAGGTACTCTGATGCTTATATAACACAAGTAAAGGCTATACCTTTAGATCCTCCTTTCTGGTTTAGATTTAAATACTTGCAATGGTGCTTACCTTGGAATTTCTTAAGATGTTCATCTCTATGGGGTCTCTGTTGACAGACTTTTTTCTAGGTTAAATACTTTGGTGTTAGAGAGGTTAGTATTTATTGAGAAGTCTTTAGGGTGTTAGAGGGCTTTAGTAGAATACTTTAAATCTCTCATCTTGGGATTCTTCTGCTCCTCTAGTTTAGAACTCGGATCAGAGATTGTGTCACCAGTTGTGTGTGGCTGAGATCTTCCAGTAATTATCTTTACTGAATTTTCTCCTGATTTGTTCTTTAGGCTTAAATTCTTTTAACTCCTTTAGTCTGTTTTTCAAGAATGGCATTTTGTAGAACATCAAATTTTCATAGTCATTATTCATGATGTATTCTATTGGTCTTCCCGACCAAAGTGCTTTCTGATCTGGTGGAAATATCTACGTAAGTATGACTTCATCTGAAGCCTTGTAAGAGTGGGAATCTATTAAAAGATGTTAGAGTCTATCTATAAATAAGAATTACCAATTTATTTGAGCATTGACCACTCTTTACCATGAGTCTTGATGTCAATGAAAGTGAATAAGGACCTTACATTGTATAAACTGTGAGTGCTCTTCTGCTGTTCAATATCCATTGTTGTACTTTTTACTCCAAGAGAACATTTGCTTAAGCTAAACAGAAGGTTATTGACTAGGATAATAGTTTTTAAAGATAATCAATACTCATCAAAAATACAAATGGATTTTTATTGAGCAAAAATTAAACTTACTTCGGTTCTAGCTTGTATTCATTTGAACTATAAAGATTTCAATTTATTGTGAAGATAAAGGGGTTTTGGGGTTTTGGGGTTTTGGGG